CCCAAAAAATAATCCATATAAATACGTAAATCCAATTAATTTTCTCAACGTTTTTCTCTCGATTCAAATGTTTACATTCGGAACTCTCTAGATTGTTCCTAGTAAATGCACTATCGTCCGTGTTTCTTTCTGCTACATTACGAATACACGGAACGAATTCTATCGTTAAACCGGGTCCGTAGGACAATATAATTTTAACGATAGAACATTCTATCTAAATTCCTACCAGCTCTTCACATGAAGGTTCCATATTAAAAATATGATGACGTCATAAGGGCATCAAAATTACCTGACTCTTCAACAGAATTTCTCGAAAGTTTGTCAGATAAAATGTATGCTAATACATTAGATGTTCACAAAATATCTTTGTGAATGCTTTTGGTTTGATAAAGTTATGGATGATTAAATGTGTAACATATGTTTTGGAACACCCTGTATTTAAAAAAGATTCTGTACAAGTCTCGTCAATTTTTGATCGGTGATTTATGAGATATGGGTATTCCCATTATTATTGAAAGAATGGCAGTGTTAATGTTTTGCTGTGCAATACCCAGATTACTGCAGTGTCTCTGTGCGTAAAATGAAAGGTGCTCGATAAAAATTTTGTGGCAGTCTTCTTAAATTATTCGGTGGCACAGAAGAAGCTGCAGATAAACGATCGCTAACTCGTTATCCTTCCTATTTACACTTGAACTTCAAAGTGGAAAGGGGGATACTATATGATGAAAACATCGTTGCCTGCACTCTTATTTAGTCTCACCCCATTACCAGCTAGATATAGATAGTTTTCGATTGACCAAGAGTTACTTCCCGTTGGCCGCCATACTGGAGGTCCAAATGCTCATATTCCTTCATTGTTCAACCAATTTAAAATTTTTATATTTGCTATTTTGAATGAGAAATCATTATTTTTCTGAAGTATATAAATTTTTGGAAGCCTCCTTTATTTAAAAAAAATTATTTGATAAAGATTTTCCACCAAATATTTCTGCTATATTTTCTTAAACTTGGTAAGACAAAGAGGGAAAATCACTGAGTCGACCTCCAATATGGCGGCCAACGGGACGTAACTTTCGCTAAATTCAGGCCTATCGAAAACCATCTATAACATGTATTATTCAGCCGGTTACATATTAATAAGTAATAAATTTTAACAAAACTTCATCTTATGATTTCAGTTCATTTGATGAAGTCTTTTTAAATAAAAGATCATACTGAAGCAGTCAAGAAGCAAAGCACTATTGTTCACTCTGTTGGATCAGTTTAATAGTACCTTTGAAACTTTTGATTCAGTCGAGGCCTCAAATGAGTCATAAGAGTACAAACATAATACAATTTTTAAACATATAAAACTGGTCAACAAAAATAGGAACAAACGTATACATGTATACATTACAAGAGTTACAGGTGTTGGAAGATAATTCTATAAATGTTGCATCACCAGAAGAGATAACCTCAGTAGGTTTTTGAGTTAGTCCCCTTTAAATCACGTTGTGATGAAAAGAGAAAATAACAATTCAATAAATCTTACAAATATACCTTTGAAACTGAAAATATTGAATCAAAGTACACGACTTTCAAGCTTGAATAAAATAAGAAACACTGATGTAACTCTTAAATGAATACATACAAAATACATTATTATTCTGATCAACCTTGTCGCTTTAATTTTTGTCCATTAGAATTTAGAGTTCAACAGTTGCTCCAAGACAATTTTTTTTCAAGTGTCACTCAAAATTTGTGCTTTTCTTTCTGTTACAAAGGTAGTGACGAATAAAAACCAGATCTATAAAATGTGTAAAATTTCAGCAACTGTCCCCTTCTGAACGGTGTGTTTCATTTCTATGGCACGCCAAATTCACAAAAATGAGATAAACCTAGTTTCACAATTGATAAACTAGGTTTATCGACTGTAAACTATAGTTTACAAACCGTAAACTATAGTTAACGATTCGTTAAGTATAGTTAACGATTCGTTAAGTATAGTTTTCATCTGTAAAACTATATTTAACGGTCGTTAACTATAGTTTACGAATGCTAATCTAAGTTTATCTGTCTGAATAAAGCGTTAACAATAGATTTTGTTGATAAACATAGATTCACGTTTGTAAACTATAGTTTACAATCGTAAACTATAGTTAAGAGTTGTTAATCATAGTTTCACAAATCGTGAAACTATATTTATCAGATCGTTAACTATAGTTAACGGTTTGTAAATTATAGTTTACAAATCGTGAAACTATATTTATCAGATAATCTATGTTTTGCAATCGCAAATGATAGTTTTCGGTGTTAAGTATAGTTTACGGTTGTGAAACATAGATTATCGCGTTAACTATAGTTTACAGATGTAAAATATAGATTAACGTTGTTAACTATAGTTTACAGTCCGTAAACTATAGTTTACAACCGATAAACCTAGTTTATCGATTGTGAAACTATGATTTGCTCATTTTTGTGAATTTGGCGTGCCATACATTTCATCACTAATAACGATTTTTGTAAGTTTATGCGATTGATTTTTTTTAAGTTCGCACTATTTAAATATCTTCTTTTTTAAAACTAAGACTGTAGTGGCGCATTAATAGGGAACAACCGGCGCCCATCAAAAATTGTCAACGTTAGCGTAAATCATAGTTTCGTCGAGAGAAAAAATCCTAGGCTGACCTCATGTTTACCCTATAAAATCAGGCACGTAGCAAAGGGGGGGCCCACTTTTCCCCAAATATAACTTTTACTATTGAAAATATTCATTGAAAGGCTGGTTGCCCCCCCCCCCATTTTTTGTTACAGTAAATTGAAATAAGGGTATTGGAGTATTGTATGCAAAAAAATTGGTTGGTATTTTAAAAAAATGGCCTCTGACCCCCCCCCCCTTCCCCCCTTTTCCCCAATTATAACTTTTACTATTGAAAATGTTCACTGAAAGGCTGGTTGCCCCCCTCCCCCATTTTTTGTTACAGTAAATTGAAATAAGGTTATTGGAGTATTGTATGCAAAAAAATTGGTTGGTATTTAAAAAAAATGGCCTCTGGCCGAAGCAATCGGTTTGCGACGATGCTCCGACTTTTCGAGTGGGTTTTTTCTTTCGAGCTTATCTATATGCATATCTTATGACATAATCTATACGTCTTCAGCTCAACATTCAAAAAGGCCTTTTGTAGAAGATAAGTTCGAAAGAAAAAACCCACTCGAAAAGTCGGAGCATCGTCGCAAACCGATTGCTTCGGTTGGCGTGATATTTTGATTGTGACGTTTCAGTGACGTCACAATCAAATTTGCATGGCGGTCCGGTTTGGATGCTTTGAAGTTATCGAAGAGTCTTTTGATCGTAAGGACATTTTACTTTGAGTGCTTGTTTATTGATGAAAGTCTTACACATCAATTTTCTTACTTGTCTGTATTTGAATATTCATTTGATACAATTTGATTATACCCAAAAATGAAAGCTTATAATTCATTATTTAGGCACAGTGCATAATCCGAATTTCCTCGTTGGCATTGGTTACGTAAGACATTCTATTAATTGAAAATCATTTTTTAATGTATAAATTAATTTAAATTGTATATTTTAAAAACAATATAATAGTTTATGGTGTATATATAGGGGAAATCAATGTAAATAATGTGTGTTATACTAGGTAACTGCATGTACAGAGTTTGGTTAAATAGGCCCAATAAATAATTATAGGCGTACATTTAAACAGATTCATAGAATTCAAGCATATTTTAAAAATCAGATAACCTCTTAATATTGACTTCACACTAGGGCTGGGTATTGGCCCGAGATTTCGTATTGCGATATATTGCGATATTTTAAACCGTATTGCGATATGTATTGCAATATTTTCAAGGTAATAAAAATGGCATTTTCGTACTAAATTTACTTTAATTTACATGCAGAATGTACATAACTATGATAAGTAACCAACATGGAAAAAAATCTTGTTGATTTCAGTTAAGTTATGCTCTGAAATGTTCCAACAAAACAACTTCTGACTTACTGTCTGGCTTAATAACAAACTTTCATAAGTCCATTTTTATTTTTAATGACAAATTTCCTTAATCTAAGTATATTGCCAATATATCGATATTATAAAATCGTATTGCGATACGATATTCTTTGTCATTGTATTGCAATATATTGAAATATCGATATTATTGCCCAGCCCTACTTCACACCCTACATCCAGCAAGTTTCTACAAGTGCTCCCCTAATATAAATCTAATGTATATAGGTATAGGCCTATTCTGTTTTTTGTTTTGTTTTTTGTTTTTTTTTTTTTTTGCTTAAAAATCATAAATACTCCAAAGGTTTTTTTTATATATATATAATTAATGTTTGTTTGGTTGCACATAAATTCCACAACACTTGTTATCTTGACTGCTAAATTTCAATGAAAACTTATCAGCCTCTTTAAACACACCAGGGTCACCTGTTTGTTACTCCAGTTAAAATTAATGGCCAGTAAAATAAGATTTATCTGTTTTACATGTGGTGACATTTACTGATAGTTCACCTAATTCAAAGACTTCTGGATAATTGGAAAGAAAAAATGGAAAGTATTTAGTAATTTGTGGGAAATTATTCTTGTCTAGAGGTATTGGTAGCTAGCTATTTTCATGGTACATTTAATTTTTTACAAATGTGTCATTAAAGTAGAATCAACATTTAAATTCAATGGTTTATTTGGATTTTTATTGATGATGCACAAATTTAAAGTAAAAGAATTCTATTACACAGAAGTTATTAGATTTAAGAATTTGTAACTATTCATTCTGCAATATATCTAAACACTGGTAATATATTTGTAGGTAAATAACAAGACTCTCTCCTACTTCAATTTGAAAGTCATCTTCTACAAATTTCAAATACATAGGTAGGTATTTGTGCATACTATTTCACAAAATGAAATGAAATACATGTGATATAGTAGCATAGTTTCTGAATACTGTATATTAAATATTTCACTTTATTTAAAATTAAAAAAAAAATATTTCAATTTATTTATGCAGAACTGTTTAAAAAAATCCTCCAATAATTGATAAACCTTGGGAAATAAAAACTCTACAGCAGTCTTCTACAAGAGACAGGTTGTTTATAAACCCCACCTAACACCTCTTTGAATTTGCATTCTTTTCAAAATTGGAAGAAGGGGGGGGGGGGGGGGCTCATCCCACTTTTTTTTCAAACATAACAAATTACTCTGATTGATAAAGTTCATTAAAAGGATACTGTATACAGGGTTATTTTCGCCCCGCTTTATTTTCGCCCTTTCAAACTTGCAAACAATTATGCCCTGTTTTAAATTTGCCCTCTCACAGTTTTGTTTAAGAAATTATACTGTGTACTTTAAATTCGCCCCTTTTTAATTTCGCCCAATCGAGGTCAGGGCAAAAGGGGCGAAAATAAAACGGGGGCGAATATTTCCCTGTATACAGTAGTCCCCCTCCACTTATTGTTGTTGCCTGGTTATGCCATGGGGATTGGATAATCTAAAAAAAAAAATTAAAAGGTGCAATAAATTTACATGTAATGTACTAGTAATTTTAATTTGAAGTAGACTTGTTAAAAATAAATAATCAGTTTTTAATCATATTCAACATACATTAGATTACAGACCAGAAATTAAAATCCGCTTTTTGATTTATCAGTTGTGACATGTCTTTTTCTTGAATTGGAAAAACTAATTTTTTTAATAATATTTGCCTCATCATTCAAAAAAAATAAAAGGGTATATAATAAAGTGAAGTTTTTAACTGAAAGATATATAAAAGAGAAATGACTCTGACTTTTGATAACTATCTGAATAATGATATTAACACAAAAACTAACTCGTATACCTTTATTCATTTTAATCATCATGAATTTCCTTTTTGGATTTAAAATGTTTTTTATTGTTGTCATAAATTTTTTGAGTTCCTTTCCTTAAAACTTTCAATTTTAGAGTTTTATGACCTGTTTGCAATTATAGATAAGTACCTTTCTATAAAATGAGTCATATATTAAATTTGAGTTCTGTGAACTGCTTACTGGGTACTTATTCATTTAATTGAATGTTTTCTGTACATCCTTTTGCAAACGTTTATGAAAGGATTTTAATACCTTTAAATAGAGCACCAATTTATACAAAGAACTTAAATACTTATACGTATAATATCTGTCAGTTTTATTCATTTAACCCTGTTTTTCTTGTTCACTGAGATGCGTCATTTTAAGCACTCTTAAAGAGTCACTGGTTTTTCTTATAAATAATGTCAGTGACTGGACAGTGGGGTATTCCTGATCATGGACAATATGTGATTTGTTTATCCCTTGTTGGAAATTCTAAATGAAGTCATCTTGATTACATAGCAGCTTTGTTTCATCCAGTGTGTACTTATAGAGTACGATGGATACTCAATATTTACCAATACTCTATACAGTCTGATTCAGTACTTTACATAATCGTATTTATTTTACTTTCAGGTCAACAAAGATTAAACGTCAAAACAGAATTCTGTTTCTAGAACTGCTAAATATAAATTTGATAACAATTGGTCTTTCCGCCTATAGGTATTAAATCTCCTTTGAAAGTGTTTGATTGACACCTGTTACCCGCCATATATACCTGGCCAGGTAAACGATTGGATAAATTGTGCTCCTTGATCAATTACTTGATGTTACATTTTCCTCGTGCTGTTTAATATTAACCATAATGCCGCCTACTGCTGAATCTGTGCTACTGCAAAGAAGACCGGTGTCAGGGCAGAATAGGATAACCTCACAGTTTCTGCCCCATGCCCCCCCTTCAGACCGTCCCTCCAGTTCTCGTTACAACCGGTGTCTGAATAGAGATACAGTAAAAATGCGTATGAAGATGAGTGAGGACTCAGAAGGAGAACTTGTTAATGGTTCCGATTCGGATGTGAGATTCCAGTTCTTCTACAAAGAACCCTGTCTCTACAGCCATCAGACCTACAATAATGCCAGCAAAATTTTCTCGACTCTGAGACATGAAAGTCTGGAAGAAAGGGAGAATCCGTATCTCAAAAAAAGGAATAAGGTTGCTTTATCAGAGAGGGAGATACCCCAGCTTCACTTCTCAAATGACCAGGACAAAAGACTGGCCTTTGAACTGGCATTTTCCACCCTCAAATGTAAGTAAATTTTTTTTTTAATGTTTATCTTTTTAAAATTAGAAGTTGTTTAATACTGGTAAGTTATATCCAATTATCCACATTTTTAAGAAAAAAAATTCAACACTGTTGCCAATTGGTCAAATTGATCAAATGAAAGAATTGTCCTTTCTGCTATTTTTGTCACCATTCATTTATAAATTGGAATAGTTTGGGGCATAATATAATTTTATTTGATAATGATATCGAGAAAAAATTAGGAATTTTTCAGCTGTGTGATATTTCTTATTCCTTGATCATCTGTTTATCTTTTCCATGGCAACTGCCTCAGTCTTGAAATTTAATTAATCAAAAATGCTGAGTAAAGTTTATGGAGTTCATTTGAATTTGTTCAATTAATTACTCATCCCATGATTCATTAATAAGTAATATTTAATAAGTGCAAGAATTAATCTTAAATTAAATCCTTATACCACCAATGGTACAAGCTGCCATTGAGACAGCATATCATTTAAGTGTAGCACAGATTATGAATAAAATACACAGTTTAACTTATATTACAATTAAAGGCTCAGGGGACTGATAACAAATACGTTATTAGGATACACTAAATCCACTTTTATTAGGTTTAGACCCCCGCGCTTTATAATATGATTCAGTAAGGAGCTTTATCTGACCAGAGAGTGGACCAGGGGAAAGCTTTTATTGAACTGATTACAATATTCAGAATGAAAAATGACACAAAATGAAACTGTTTTAAATTTACAGTCTGATGTTTTCAATGATCAGTTTTAAAAGTTTTCTTATTGAACAATATTTTATGTCAATAAAAAATATAAATGTCTTAAAAGTGTTTACATTAATCAGTTTTTATTTAACTTTTAAAAATATTTTATTTATCCAATTATTTGAACCGTTAAGAACATGAATCTGGCAGAGATACCATCAACATTTTACAGAAAACCCTTTTCTTCAACTATCTGTATGAATTGAGATAGATAATTTGACATGAATGACGATATTCAAGTATAATTGTAAGAATGTTTTCTCCTGCATGGAAGTTTCAAAAGAGTGATTGTTGGAATGTCTGAATTACTTAATGACATATTGAATGTTTGAAAACCTGTATACAACTTAAATATACAACATGTACAAATGGTAAATGAATCAGAAAATTGGAAATCTATAACCATTGAGTGTTATCTATTTGAAGGAGTAGGGAATAGATTGAGTTAAAATTTCAGTATACATAAAGCATGTCAATTATTACAACATTTTGTTATTTTATAATCCTTCAATAAGTTCAAAACTTTTCAGTTTCTTTTCAGTTCATTTAGGCCTATAACCTAGCTAATTTCACAGAATGTTTGAACTGAGGTCATTTTAAGAATTCATGAAAACATTAATGAATTTGGCATTCTGACTGTGCTGCTCACCTTAGAATTATATGTATAGTCATGAAGCCTAGTTTAATGCTCTACCCATAACAATATAGCTTTGTTCTTTGATCATCCTTAGGACCTATCAAACATGTATAAAAAATGAACTTTTGTTTAGATCTTGAGAAAGTCATTGTTTGATGCTTACAAATGGCTCCAGGGACAGCCTGATAGTCCTCTGTGAGCTCTATTCTATCTACCGTGAGATATGTTCCACTCTTTCTGACTCGGGTCTCATTAGACACATTTTTAACAGAATTTTTATGCCTTCGTCATTGATTTTCATCCACGTCTGTTTTTCCTCTCAATATCAGAGGGATTAATTCTGGTCTCTGCTAGAATTGTGTGCAAAAATTAGCGATATAGCGGTAGTTTGGATTTATCTTTTGATGTTGTATTGAATTACTTAAAAATATTGAATTTCATTGTATAGTGGGTCTTATGCATCAAAATTATATTATGAATAAAACATACTGATATTGAAACTATATTTTTCTGATATAATTATACTGATATATCTATACTATATGTAATCAAGAACTGATTTAATGTACATATTTTACTAGATGGTATAACTATAGACATTTAAAAGTGTAATACCATTTTATTTCAAGAAAAGTGACAACTGATGATAAAATACTTGAGACTGTTTGGAAAGACTTAAGAGAACAATGTAATTCGGATGTTTACATGACAGGGTCTTGTAGTCATGGTAATAGATGAAACATTGTAATCTTAACAGGTGACGTCATTGGTTGTTCCAAACTGGACAACACAAAGCATCACCTGTTATAGTGGACGCGGTGTCAAGAAACTTGTATTGAACACTGTTGTTTACTGTTAATTGAAATAAGGGGCTTGTTTATTTACAATGTGGGTTTTAATAAAAACCGAGTGCTTTACCCCAGTGCACGATCAGACTTATCATTTTACGGTCAATCACCAGATTAACTGTTGGTCCTGCACACCCTTGTGTTTGGACCTGTATTTGCAACTTATCAAACATTTAAATTTTACAGAAGCCAAATATTTGGCACTGTGATTGATCTCTAAGAAAACTTTGATCCCTCTCGGATTAATAAGAAGTGATCTTTATGCAGACCTTACGTATTCAGAACTGATCAACTTCCATCAAAATTCCACAAGATGGGAGTCCTGTCTCAGAGAGTTTGGGTATCTGAAATCATTATACACCTCAGTGTCACCAGTTGACTTGGACTTTTATGAGAGTTTGAAGCAAAGGCTTTGATAACATGACACAGAATAAAACAAGTGCTTGAGATTATCTCCTTAGTTCAACAAATGGGTTTAATGGTCAAGAATGCCAACACATTAATATATTCAAATCTTTATATGGAGAAAAAGTCTGTATTCTGCTTTGTCCACAGCAAAATAAATCAGACAAAATTGAAGGAATATAATTTGAAAATTAAAAAAAAATAAATAAAAGAGGTAGATCTTACTTATTAATAAGAATCTTTTTTACATCCCTCCTTTCAAACTGTTTTGGTCAAATAGAAATAACAATGAAATAAAAGGTTTTTTTTTTAGTTTGAGTTAGATATAAAGTTTGCTGGACACAAATTTATAATGTGTGTAATCCTCAGAGGCATTTTTATATGATCACTGTTAAAATGTTGAGTTCAAGACAGTCATGATATAAAGACCCCTTCAGAAAAAAGGGGATCAGCTGCCAAATTCCCCACCAACCACTCATGATAGTGTTCCTTCTTATTCAGCAGTGACAAAAAGTCAACTGAAAGAGTGCAGTGCAAAAGAAGATGGCCCATGGTTGGGTCAGCCTGTTAATACTGTATACAGGGTTATTTTCCCCCTGTCTTATTTTCACCCTTTTAATTTGTAATTTTGAAATGCAGGGAAAGTTCAACTAAATGCTCCTGATCACAAGTAATAAACTGCACAAGCTGATGTTTTTGAATAATGTTAATGTTTTTTTTTAATTTCTATTTTAAATAATTAATTTTTTATTCAGTGTAATATTTTGTGGGAAACAATATCCTGTCATGGTTAATGTAAAAACTTGTACCTGCCCACTTTCTTATGAAGTGAATATTTCACTTTGGATATTATATAAATGATTTAGCTTACGTTATAATTCTGGTTTACAGATCAGCTGTTGTTTGAAGAGATACTGCAGGACTGTGCTTTCTTCTCCTCCTACCCAGAGGTAAGACTTCATCCATACACAACCACTTACAGTCAAACCTTATTATCTAGAACTCAGACCAGATATCCAAGGATTTGAGATATCAAGGGTAAAAGAATGTAAAAGTGACTAATGTATTGAATGTTTTTTGTGAGTATTTTTTGGTACATAACAGTACATCCAGTACATGTACATGAATTTTAACATAATTAATGCACACCTATTTGAGTTATAACTTACTAGTTTATCCAAACTGATTTATAATCTGCCATTCCCACTCTAAATATGCAAGGTAATGTGATTGCATTAGAAAATTATTGACAAACTAAATGTCTAAATGCCTGGGGATTCTAAAATAATAATGGTACTGCTAAAAAGCTAACAAAGGTTAATGTGGTGTGTAAATGGAGAACCTTGTAAAACAGTAGTTAGGGGAGGTGTTTTAATAGAAAACTTGTTTGAACATTTGTAATAATAATAGTTTTTCCCAATATGATAAAGATCGAGAGTTGGCGTAGCAAAAGGGGCCAAAAATTAACCAGAGTGTTTCTAACTGTTAGGAAGCAATCAATTCTATTTTTAATTTGGACACATTCAATGAATGTCATTTGAAATGGAATTAATCAATACCAAGTTAATGAATGTTACAATCGTTAACAGATTTCAAAAGAACTTAAAAAATATCAATGTGACACCACATGAAAAGTAAAATCAATTTTTAACTTTAATAATACAATACACAACCTTGGTTGATAAGAGAAAACCATTACTAAATGGTGTTTTTCTTGCTGCACCAGGCAGATATCTCATTACTGGCCCTAAAGCCAGAAAGAGAGAGATGTAAAAATAGTATGATTACAAAGTCAGGGATCTGAAATGCCTGGTGAAAAATGCGATATTGAACATGATTTTCATAGCAACCCTTCTGTAGATATTTGAGGTATTATGATTTGACTGATATAAAGGAGAGATCAATGAACAGTGGTGGAAATATCAAGGAGGACTCTGTTATCATTGTCCTGTTATAGAGGCGTCGACTTCAGGGCATTTACACACATCAAAACAAGTATCAATACTGCATTTATCATGCAAGTTTTCAGTTTTATTATATTGGGAAGTTTGCATAATCTTTCTTCAGATGTCAGT